GTCAAATTCAAAAGTGAGGTAGACTATTCACGTCCGCATTATATATTTTTCAGATACCTATTCATGTTTCCCAAGTATTGAGCAATAGATACAGATTTCATGTTGGGATGTCTGTTCATTCAAGATATAAAAAAATAATAGGAAACCATCTACGAAACCGTAAAAACTTTCGACAGAATACCGAATTCATTCGGGCTAAAACATCTTTCACTCTCGCTGGCAACCTTTGCTGTAGGTCACGGCCATTATCAGAAGGAAATCGTACAATATTCCATCCCCACACGTTCCCCACTGCATGAGAATTCCTCTTTGATCAATTGTTGATAGCCCGAGAGAGATCCTCACTATAAAACCATAGATTTGGGGTGGACTGTTCACAACTTGGAGGTCCACTGAAGACTTTTTATTGTGCATTGGAAGTCGGAGCATGATGACTTCCAAATCTTTAGTGAGTTTTTGTGGGTTTTTGAATTGCGCTTGAAGCTACAGTTGTTTCTGTTACAGGTGCTGCTGACGTTGGCGTCGCTGGTTGTCTACAGTGCAGCTACCTTTGGAAAAGAACAGTAAGTGTTACCAAATAGTTTCATAGAGTTTTCTATTGGAAAAATATTCATTAGTGTAAACAGTGCAAAAAAANGTTTATTAATAAATAAATATGTTTCAATGCTATTTAAAGACCTATTCATTTCAACAATTGCCTGATCCAAATTTTCATGTATACAATAAACCAATGTATCATCTGCAAAAAGATTTATACAGTGTGATCCAGATATGTGATTAATATCATTTAGGTAAATAATAAAAAGCAATGGACCTAACACACTACCCTGGGGTATGCCACTCTCAATTATAAGTTCATCTGACAATTCTTTTCCAAATTTAGTTTTTTGTCTTCTGTTGAATAAGTAACTTTGAATCCAATCGAAAACAATCCCTGATATCAGGTCGAGAAATGTCGCAACAATGTACTGATTTCTATCAATTGTATTTTTCCATTCAGTTTTTAAAAATTGTAGAGACGTTTAACATGAGTGTCTAGCTCTTAAACCTGATTGGTTGCCTATAAACAATTAATATTAATAATTGCTATTAATACATTGAGTAAGTGGAAATTTGACAAAATATTTTATTCCTATATCTAATTGAAGATGAATTTCCACAAAATAAATAAGTATCAATATCGCAATTGAAGAAATTTGCTAAACTGATTGATGGACAAACTTCATTTCCGGTGACTTCTTGAATTTGGTTTTCATTTCTGCTTGTGTGTTTTTCACTCATAACTCTTTTTTGAATTGTGGCCAAATTTACAGTACTGCTACTTGGTTTATTTTCCATAATTTGACTCGCTATTTCAGTTTTTTCAATTGATTCTTCAATGTTCTCTTCCGCCGCAGTTGATGATTTACATTCTCCATCGTTTTGATGTTACTATATTTCCCCCCGATTCTACAAAAAATTTTTGCAAAACATCTGCGAAAACAGGGTTCTGTGTATTTTATTAAATTATCAAGAGTCAAATATTTTGCAATATCGTTTGGAATTTTACTAGAAGTATTCATATCAACAGGTTGAATTGAACATTTTATGTTATGAAATGTCCCCAACACTTGTTTCTCTATACATTAACTTCTTTAGGCGTGTCTATATTCTTTCAACTTTTGGGTAGCATTTTATATTTGGTGTATAAATTGAGAATATAGATAATCTTCAGGGAAAAAATTGTTTTAAATCGGCTTTTCCTTACGATAGAACTGAACAAATTATGTTTTTTATAAATATTCACTTCAAATGATGAGAACAGCGGTTCTGTATATCGAAAAATTTTCTTCTATGATAATTATTGTTCTCAGATGTATTGGCTTTGGCGCATCCGGCAAATTTTTCAACGACAATTTGTAAGAATTGTGGAAAAAATTGTGTTGCTTCGAAAATGTTAAAACCGAGGTTTATTTCGGAAATTTATTTTTTCCTTTATCAGGAATATCTACAAAAAAAGTGATGCAAAAATTTTATAGCAATAAAAATGTTACAAAAGATTCACCAAAGTAGGTTAAAAAAATAAAAAAGGCATATAAATCAAAAATGTCAATGTGAGATTTAAATGTAAGTGAACAATTAATAATGATCTATAATTTTTCTTATATTGAAGTTATTTGTTCAATTTTGTTGATCAAAAGTTAAAATATAATTGTGAATTTGACTTAAATTTTGTATTTCTGATTTTTTGTTTAAATTATTATTATGTTTACTTATGTGAACCATTTCTAGAAAAAGCCTTTTGAATTTATTATTTTCAACTGTTAAAATTTTAGTATTTTGATAATCCATAACATGATCTGAAGAGATAACATGTTCAGCTAGTCCACAGGAACGTTTGTTTAGTCTGCAGTCACTTTTATGTGAAGTGATTCTTCCAGATAGATTACGACTGGTCTCACCANTGGAATGGAATGACAAATGTAATTCCTAAAACACTGTTGTCACTTGAAATAACGATTGAAATCTATTCATTATTCAAATGAGGGATACTGAGGCAATATCTACTGAGACCCAAAATATTTACATTTTTGTATACAACTAATACTTTGGAAACTACGTATTTCGAATTTTGTTTTAAATTTCACTTCAAAACGTCATAATTTGTCCTGTAATCTTTAAGACATCACATGCCTTCTAAGTCTAATGAAATGATAAGTTATTTGCATCTTTTTAGCAGATAGAATAATTAGGTTATATTATTGCTGTGCCACCTCAATGTGCGAACACTATAACCTAGAACATTATTAATTTAAGTTCTACCTACGAAAAATAATACAAATACTGCTGCCAAACACTGGAATTAAGTGTGCCTACTTGAAGATATTTTTTTTATATTTTTGCTAATTTTTGTTGATTTTCCAATGATGGAAGTATGACCATTTAAGTTTTCATGCGAAGTTATATATTTCGAGATAAGGAAGAAAGTGAACAAAGTTTCTCAAATTACATACTTCCTCCATTGCATATTCATAATATTTTATTTTAATTGGATGATTAGTATTTGAAGTTATTTTTTATGAAAGTAACAACTTACTGAGATTACCCGATCTTGATCACATTCATAAATCAATCCTGGAAAGTAAATGACATTTCAATTTCCACACCGCTCATGAATACAATACTTACCTTTCTCTAATAAAGGATTGATTATGAATTATGCAACCAAATTTTTGAACGACACCATCGAAAAGGAAACTAAACTATTAAAATACATAATTTCGCCATCATAAGGCTAGGCAGCTTTCTCATTTCTACAACCTTTCACCAACTAACAAGCTACATTTATAAAGGTAGACAAATCTTCACGTGTGTGTTCTTGGGAAAATTATAGTTGCTACTTCAATTTGTTCTTGATAGATGTTATTTGATTTCGATGTGGGAAACATGTGGTAAAATTATGACTAGCTCAACAGAAATCAGTTTGTTTTACTTTGCATACACTTTTCTTCAATATCAGTGGCCTTTAAAGCAGTATAAGTGAAAAATGAGAAATAGAATTTCCTATGTTTTATACCACTTCTATTTGTAACTAACGTTACTGCAGTTCCCTCCTATAGGTTAGATTTGATTAGAAGTGAGTGGATTCATTGGACCCTCCACCGCAACCCGCAAGGGTTTATTATGGCTCACATCTATTCACACTCGACCGAATGAATCCAGCTTCTTAACGAAGCCGATTAGTTTATACGGTGGGCGATCTTTCAGGTCAGATGGTAAGAGAGCGGCTCTGCCAAACTCTTAAAACCTGATTTGGTCCGCAGCGGGGCAGGCACAAAGTTTGTGCTCTGCTGTTTCATCATTTTTCAAACAGAGGCGACACACACTGTCTTCCGACAGTCCGAGTATCTGCATATAATGATTCAGATCTGTTAGACATTGTAGTTCAGGCCTGTTAAACATTGTAGTTCATCCCTACTGAAACTGTTTGGTTTCAAGCTTCGAAGGATGTGTTCCTTTCAAAATATGAGATTCTCTTCATTATTCATAATTTTTTTTTCAAGATATGTGCATGGAAAATCATCAACGGGTTTTGTTTTCTTCAAAATGCGTTTCTTGGATATATATTTCGAGTATATCCAGACTCTCCTCACGCTGACTTCGTCGAAAACTAACGAGCAAATCGTCGTGTAGGAGCGAAAAATGCTCTGCGAACTTCCCGTCATCCTCATATTGCAATGGTTGCACGAAGATCATCAAGGCCTTGGAGTTCAGATTCGACCCGAAAATTTATTCTTGTATCGTCAAAAATAATGTCTCCAGAATAGAAGAAGTACAGGCTATTTGCTGTCAGGTATAACGAGGCAAATATAGCAACTACACTACGTGCCAATGCCTCCACGTAGGCGACAACTGCTGGCTGTGTTACGACGATTGTTCGGTCAAAACCGAGCAAGAAGATTACGTGCTGAGGCCCCAGGGAATTATAGTTCAAGCACCAGGGAATAAGAGTTCCTCAGTTGCTGTTGTACAGGCGCAGTTTGATTACTAAGGTGGTGGATTATTGGCCCTGAAATAAATTCTTCTCAACTCTATCGTGAAGAAAATGAATGATGACGAAATTATTTTCAGTGAAAGTTCTGTATGTAACTTTTAGGTTCATGATTCGAAATAATACACACTGCGCCATCTCTTCTGCCAAGCCACATTATTCTCATAACTTCAATTTCATTTACAAATTGGTATCATGTTCAATATGTTTTACTATTTCAGTGTCCACATCAGAGTTCATCTTCCCGCCGAAGAAACTCATCATCACAAAGAAATAGTGAAAGAAATCCATCACGTTGGTGGTGGCCATGGAGGTGGCGGAGGTTACGGAGGAGGAGGCGGTTTTGGAGGCGGTTTCGGAGGAGGACACGACGACCACCACCACGGTGGAGGTGGTGGCTTTGGAGGAGGAGGTGGATATGGTGGAGGTGGTGGCCATGGAGGAGGAGTATCACACACGATAGTTATAAATGGCGGAGGTGGTGGAGGAGGAGGCGGAGGAGGACATGATCATCATCACGGAGGTGGTGGTGGAGGTGGACATGATCATCATCACGGAGGTGGAGGTGGATATGGAGGCGGTGGTGGATATGGAGGCGGTGGAGGCCATGGAGGCGGTGGTCACGGAGGCGGTCATGGAGTTGAAGTTATACAATTACATGGAGGTGATCCATTGCCTAGTGGTGGCGGAGGAGGTTATGGAGGTGAGTGATAGAAAAAGCATGGAATGCATATTGAGAATGAATAATCAGATATATAATTGTGAAATATTTCACAATTACGGATTGATATGAAAAAAAAAACAAATACATTTGAAATATATTGCAGATGATTCGGAAATAATACGAGAAATTTTTGAGTAGAATAGGAAATGAAATATTGACAGCAATTTTGTACACTACATACTTCAGTTTGATTTCAATATAACTACAGAAACTATTGGTAATGTCACAGTTATTTGAAAAAAATTATGGGTATTTCGACTAGTTGAAATAATGTTATAAACGAATGTAAAAACATTTCGACCCCCTTTTTTATTAAAATACAGCAAGTGTTGTGAATATAAACATGAACACATTTCAGGTGGCTTTGGAGGCGGTGGAGGATTTGGAGGAGGCCACGATGATCACCATGGCGGCGGAGGAGGTTTAGGAGGTGGATTTGGAGGTGGTTTTGGAGCAGGTCATGATGATCATCACGGAGGCGGCGGATATGGAGGAGGAGGTGGATTTGGAGGTGGATCAGGCTTCGGAGGTGGTGGCCATCATGACCACCATGGAGGCGACAATGGAGGCTATGGCGGAGGAGGTGGATTTGGAGGAGGATTTGGTGGAGGACATGATGACCACCACGGAGGAGGCGGAGGAGGTTATGGCGGAGTAGGCGGATTTGGAGGCGGCGGAGGATTCGGTGGTGGATATGATCACCACGGAGGAGGTGGAGGAGGTTATGGCATAGGAGGCGGATTTGGCGGAAGTGGAGGTGGACATGATGATCATCACGGAGGAGGTGGAGGAGGTTATGGCGGAGGAGGCGGATTTGGAGGCGGCGGAGGATTCGGTGGTGGATATGATGATCACCACGGAGGAGGTGGAGGAGGTTATGGCATTGGAGGCGGATTTGGCGGAAGCGGAGGTGGACATGATCATCATGGAGGTAATGGAGGCGGTTATGGAGGAGGTGGTCACCACGGTGGAGGCGGAGGTGGGGTAGGATTTGTTGGAGTGATACACGATCACCTTGATGGAGGTGGTGGTGGCTTTGGAGGTGGTTATGGAGGTGGTTATGGAGGTGGTCATGGAGGAGGTGGCCATGGAGGAGGTGGCCATGGAGGAGGTGGCCATGGAGGAGGTGGCCATGGAAGTGGTGGCCACGGGGACAGTCATGGAGGACATCCTGGATACCCGTAGGAAAAATTTTCACCAGAATACCTCTCATCGAAAGTCTGTTTGCGCCATTAGATGTTAATCCCTGTAATTTATCATGAACTATGTTTGAGTGATCCAGTATGCATGCGTTGTAAATATTGTTGATGAATGTTGATAAAGATGATATTTTTTATATTATTCATGTATTTTATTGTTGATATGATTGCTTGGTTTCATCTATTTTGGAACATGAGTAGAATATGTGAAATGAATGATGAGAAGAACGATGCTGGAAAGAAACTCGACTAAATTGGCTAACGAAAATGTTTTTACGATTCAAATGTACTGTAAATATTTCTTCAAAATCCAAAAATCCGAAAATAATCAAGTTTCGAGACATCCTAGTCCAAAGCTATGAAATGAAGGATAAATATGAGACTTGTGTAAATTTGGTTATTGTTTAGAACCTAAAATATCACGAGTCTGTTCGAAGTATGATATTATGTGGAATTGCAACATTTCATGTATGCATATTAATTTTTCATCAAGATAGTATAACCAATAATATCACCACTGACTTTTATGATAATATTATCGTCGTTAATGGCAATATTTCCGTTGAATTTATACCTAGATCGCTGTTTTTGAATTTTAAAGAGTAACAATGTCGAGACAAAGTGATCAAAAATAGGGGTTTTTTCGAATTATTTTATTCTTGATAGAATTAGACCCTCATCTAACTTATGAATATGTTTCAGTTGTCGAAGTGTCTGAGTACTGGAGTGATAGAGATGGTGAGTCTATTGATGGAGCTCCTGATTGAGCTTCTGATATTGCTTTTCTTCAATTCTTTAATGAATAAATGAGTGAAGTACGAAAAGTAATGAATATATTTTCACAGAAATCTCATCCAGTAATAGTGAATATATATATTGGTTATTTCAAAAGTTTTGTCTGTTTCCATGAGTCTAATTCAAACTAAATATATCAGTGAATATCTATTATATTTATTGAAAATACGTGTCATTTGAATCAGTTCACCAACCAATTAGAAGTCGATTTGATGAAATCGAAGATTTTGCCTGGTCCTGATCGGCGAAGTATCTACCAATGAGAAAGTTTTCGAAGTGCTTGTAAAGATGGTAGCCGGTTGGTGTCTCAAAAATGAATGTTTTCGGGACTCATGCTTAAATACACTTTTACCTTATGAATAACTGAGAAATCGTCCTGTAGAATATAGAACACTTATTACATAACAATTACGTAACACCCTGGTTCGTTTTATTGACAAAAGAAAGTCGACCAAAAATGAAATTGTTATTATGTATGTATATTATGTATGTCAAATTCGACAGTCACAAAGTTTAGCGGCTCCTTCACTAGGTTCGCAAATATAAAACGTTGGCACCCCTTTGTACTTCCTTCTGATGTTATCCATCACTTTCTCTACCGCATTCGAAAAGAGCAAGGTAACCGTACAACCCCCAAAACCAGCCCCCGTCATCCGACTTCCTAGCACCCCCTCAACTTCCATGGCTAACTCCACTAGATCGTCCAATTCCGAACAGGACACGTTGTAGTCGTCTCTTAGAGAATTGTGACTCTCGGCCATCAGCCTTCCGAATCCCATGTAATTGCCTTGTTTCAGCATTTCAGCACCTTCTTTCGTTCTCCGGTTTTCTGAGATGACGTGTTTCGCTCTTTTGATGACCTCCTCGTTTGCATTGATCGACTTGAGGTAGTCTAGATCATGTGTGGTGGCTTCCCTGAGGCTGACTCTCTTCAGAAGCTGCGCTGCTTCTTCGCATTGTTTCCTTCGTGTAGAGTATTCGCCACCTCCATAAAAATAAATGTATGCAGATGTATGGAAAAGTTCAGAATTTTCATTTGTTCATTCTGAATATACAAATACGTCCCTTTCATTCTTTCAGGAATTGTATATGTTTCAGTCCTTTAAAAACTGGGTGTCCTGTTGAGTGTACGCTATCAGAGACCTAAAGATCTCTGCTCACTATACCGTACCAAACCATGACAGTTAACGTACCGGCACATGCTAAAAAATATTCTTTCATACAATGTATATGAACCAACGCCCACTAGACCGTGGGCGTAGACAAAAATAGTCTAACGACCTAACGAATCACCTTTTGAAATTTCGTACCGTAGTTACGAAACACCCTGTAAATATATGGAAATGGATAGTACTTCCTACTTTTTCTTGAACAGAGTGAGATATCAGAGTCGGTCAAAATTGTTGTGAAAAGGACTCATTTTCAGTATTTTTTGTTAAAAAACGCGATCAAGAAAGCGATATCACCTCATTTTTTCAAATGAAAAGGGGGTCATGTAATATTCGGTATGGACTGCATTCCCAATATCTATACAATGGCTTTCACTTCTTTGACTTTTGATAACCGATTGCGGAGTTATTGATGTTTGCATTTGTGACGCCATCAAATGTCAGATTCTTTTGCAATATCGAAGAAAGGGATCCAAGAATTGGCATTAAATATTATGCAAAAAATTAAAGTAAGTGTTCAAAACACTTGAAATGTTGACAGTGGCATACTGCGATTGTAGTCTGAGTCGAAAAAATGTTAATAAGTGGTACAAGCTTTTCATGGAAGGTCGAGAAGATGTGAATGATGTTGCTAGCCCTGGACGCCCCAGCATATGATCATGACAGTAGGAATTACCCTACTTCAGGCAGACAGTGACGTCATCACACCAGCCAGGTTGCCTCTCAGCTCGCCATACAAGGCAGAAAGACCACTCAATCAACCAGAGTGCACCAAATCGTCACGTGGTGTCCTGTCACCCAACTAGCTAGGCGGTGAGCCAATCAGAGTATACCAAAAATTGTCATGTAATGTCCTCAAACTGTCATGTAGCTCGCCAGCGAATCAGAGCGCAGGCTTCTGCATTTCAGAACATCGTTGCGGGAGATTTGAATTTTCTGTGAACATGTGGACATATGGTCCTATTCGAGTCGGATTGGTGGTTATAAAAACTTGGATTGTTTTTCTTTTCTCGAATCGGTTAGCAGTATAACAAACGGAAGTAGTCAGGCCTTTAGCGGTGTTGTCAGATTGTTCAGTATATCGGATATATTTGAATTACGGTCACATAAATACAGAAAAATATTGAACGGGTTTGGTATGGTCTGAATTTCGGAAGGTGAAATTTGCAATCGGACATCAAGTTTCCATTGGGAATTATTGAAGTCAAAATGAGTACTGTTAAAAAATTGTCCTAACGAGCGGTTGTGTGTGGAGTGTTCCGAAAAACATCACATTTTGCTTCATTTGGGAAAACCAAATTCAGTTAGTGGATCGAATGGGGATGCGGCCTCAGGATCAAACATTGAGAGGAGGGAAACGGTTAGTAATGATACATCAACGGTTGATGTGCATTTATGTTCAAAACCTAATGCGATTTATTTAAAGGATGATTCCAACTATAAAACTTTGTTTGCGTTCATGGTTGTTTTCGTGGAAACAAGTTTAATTGCAGGTGCTACAGCTAGATTTATTTTAGATTCGGGTAGTGAAGCCAATTTACTGACAATCGGATGTTGTAAAAGGTTGGGCTTGAAGATTTCAAAGAATCATTCTTCGGTTTACGGTTTCGGAGGTTCTACTCAGAAAGTTAAGGGAAGTACAATTTTTACAGTTGTTTCACGGTATAATACACAAAAGAAATATATAGTTAGGGCTCTCGGTTTGATAGAATAAATCTACTTAGTTGAGTAGTTTCAGTTTTGAAATTAGAAATATTCAGAACGGCTGTTAATAAGTTACGCGCGGTTGATTTTACTGTATAGATTAATGTGTGGATTGTTCTTCGTTCAAATGAGTTTTCTTCAACACTGCTTCTCCTAAAACTCCTTGATCCCTCTCTACTTTGCCATAATAGTTTCCCTGAAGCAGTTTGGATCCAACAGCAAAAAACGAGAAAGGGGTAAGTCTCAATCCTGGGTTTATTTAACCATCACTGAGTTATTATTTATTGTATTTTGTGTTTTGAGTTTATCATATCCATTACAGAACATAACATTTCAGACAGACGACCAGGCGTATCCCTCAACAAGAAAGACCACCCAGTCACGTGGCGCGCTTATGTCAGCCCTTCTTTTCGCTCCACAAATTTTTGTTTCATGACGCTAATAAAAAAAGTTTTCGTGTTAGAAATCACACGTTACAAAGTAAGACCTCGTTAATCCTTAGTTCGTATAAGTTTCGACTTCTGAGGGTTGTTTATCGTAGAGGTGCGATAACTGGTTATCGGTGAAAACATATTTTGAACATATAACATAACCAAAGTCTAATCGTACCAATGGAAAAGCACAGGAGAGCAAGATCGATCAAAAAAAGCACGCTAAGTTCGATCAAATTTCTAAATTTTGCTTACTATTTGTTCGATCACTTTGACCTAGTGCATCATCAGTTTTGGCCACATGTATATTGGTCGAGAGATGCAATACGAAAAAAAAAACGTCCGGTACGGGAGCAACAATTCATGCCTTTTGCAACACGATAATGCATATTCATAGTCCTGCGGATTTGGAGTTAAGGGGCTCACAAATCCTTTTGAGTTTTTTTAAGGACAAAACACTAGAAGACAAAACACTGGAAAAAGCATTCTCAGGAAGTTTATTTCACATAAACGCAGTTCTTCAGATGAAAGAGTTCTTGAAAACTAAAGTTTGATGTATACTGAGTTGAACCTCAAAACGATGAGCAGACAGTCCGTCGTTCCAGACTATCAAGGAGCAAGTGATGTTCGTGTCTACAATCAGGCGGATGACTTTTTTGTGGATGGAATCCAGCAACTTCAGGGCATGTTTCGGGGCAGAGCTTCAGAGGTTCCCCTAGTAGTTTCAAGGCATTTCGTTGAACTACTAGGGAAAGTCAAAGAGCAGGATCAACTGATCAGTTTCGACGTGGAAAGCCTCTTCACTAACGATCCTGTCGAAGAAGAACTTCAAATCATATAGGAGAAGCTATCTAAAGCTGGCGACCTGAAAGATAGAACAAACTTACCGATACAAGTAATCATGGAATTACCTACTAAGATACTGTGTATGAAACTGCTACTTTCAACTGAAGGACGAATTCTTTACGCAAAATGAGGGACTACCAATGGGTTCGCCACTTTCATCTGTTNTGGTTGTTGCTTGTATGTTATTTCTTTGTAATTTCAGTTTTTTGTTTAATGAAATTGTTATTTTCGGTTAATGTTATTAATTTTTTAATTGTTTTTTTCAGGGTTTTCGAATCAATTTATATTATATCAGACAATGGAAGTCCGAACTGATGAAATACACCAGGAAACATTGTCAACCACCTCCAAACAGTCCATTTTAACCCCAACATACTTATCGAAGCAAAAACCGGAATTGTCTGTTCTGACATTATCATATCCGGTTCAGATCTTGGAGAAAACCGATACCTGAGTTTTTGTGGCATTGAATTGAACCCGGTTACTTTCATCCCAATTTGGAATCACTTTTGTGATATGCAACCTGCTGTCGGTGAATATGTGCTTTCTGGCTTTGAGAAGTCTCCTAACAAAAGAGGATAAAATGTTATATTGAGAACTTACCCGTTAATTCGTGTTTAACATTAGAATTAGTGATGAGAACCACAATCCTCGGATCCGTCAGCGGAATATAATCCACCGTCATTTTCTGACAGTCAATCAACAGAGCTTGCCTTGTCTTCCCCATGAAAGAAACGAATTGATCCATTATACCACAGGGCACGCCAGCATATTCATGTTCTGCCTGTTGGCACGCCAAAGCTCTGTTCACGACAGTTGCCTTGCTGGGTTCACCGATTTCATCCAGGAAGTAGTAAACGGCAACTTCTAGAGCAGCACTGCTGGCCAGTCCGCCTCCAATTGGGACAGTGCTGTGGATAACAGCCTTGAATGCCGGAGCAGTTCCGATATAGTTGGCGATGACGCCTCTGACGTAAAGCGACCATTTGGGGCCTGTACTCTTGTCGGTGATGTGTTCCATATCCAGGATCGCCTCCTGAGATGTATCCACCGTACTAGCGGAAGTGTACACGTAAGACTTGCTGCCATTGTTCTTCTTGCCGACGATTATGGTGATCAGGGGCAAGGCCATTGGCATTACGAATCCTCCATTGTAGTCAGTATGTTCACCAATTAGGTTGACCCTTCCAGGGGCATAAACGAATTGCAAGGGTTCCTCGTTGAAGTGGTTTCTGAATATGGTCTTGGTTTCCTCGAGGAGGGCTGCAACGTTTGGGATTTTTTCAGACATTGTCACGTTCACATTTTGAATTTTGTGACAGTATCGAGTGACAGATGCATGTGTTTGAGAGGTTATGTGAAAAATGTCCTGATCAACAAATAGCTTTTTTATGGATGATATATGTTTCAATTCCAGTATTCTTTTGAGTACAAACAGAAGCAACAGAAAAAAGTTATTTCCGAGTAATGTTCATATGTTCTTCCGCAGGGTACCCCAGTATATGTATATTTTGCGGCACACCAAAAATTTGTTGACAACAAATACCGGACTAGGTATTTCAAGGAGAGGAGCAGAGAGACGAAAAACCTTCGTCGTCGTGATTGGGTGTAAAAACTGCAATACAATTACGTCGTGGTGCGAGCCCACAAAGTTACATGTGCGATTTTTCCTTGTCTAATAAGGAACTTCCACTCCTACCATACATCCTTCTGCCATACTACATCAAACAAGTCCCCAAGGGGCACTCATGTTAGGAAAGCTACCTTTCCAGCGTTGGATGAGTAACCGCCGAGGGCTCTTGCGAGACACCTCTCCCACACATCTAGCTTGAAATCGGCCAACGCCTGTTGCCCGCAGATGCGGGATAGGGTGGTTGACCGATAACTTTACTGGGTGAGTGCCGTGTGATCTGCACCGGGGGACTGTCAAACACCCGTAAGAGAGAGACAGTGATCCCCCGCCACTCACCCCGACCGGACTAGGTTTATCAGTGAATGGCAACGTTAGATTATCGCTGCTGGCCAAACCAACTTCAGTGATGACAGTGTTGTTGATAACGGTCCTGAAAGCTGGAGCACTTTCAATATAGTTGTCGATGACGTGCCTAACGTAAAGCATCCTTCGTCGTAGCAGAAGTTACATGTATGATTTGCTGATTTTATTTATCTTGCCAATGAATATGGTGCTGAGAGGCAAGACCGTTGGCATTAAGAATCTTCCGTTGTAGATCAGGTTGATTTTTCCTGGGACGTAAACTTCTGTATGTGTAAATAAGAAGGCGGAGTGTAGGCCCACAGTACTTAGGACACATGTGACCTATTGTACATCTTCCCGACGGGTTGTCTTCCTAGGTTATCTTTCATCATGCCCTTTCCAGGAAGGTGGACAGGCCACTAGGAGACATGTCCTTTATATCGGCAGGTGCTGGCCAAAAACACTTTTTTATTGGCGATAAGACATACCTGGGAGTTTCATCTTCCTGACCACACATCCTGCATAGAGGTGTGTCTACTAGCCCCATGGAGGTGTGTCCACTAGCCCCATGGAGGTGTTTCCTTAGTTTACAGTGGCCAGTCAGAAATCCTTCTGTCGAGCGTAGGTTTTTTCTGGCCATCGCCAGATAGTTCTTCAGTACCAGCTTTCCAGGATCGTCCAGGGTGATCCTGGCAAGACTGCATCTTTTGATTCCATTCCATCTCTTCAGGGATTCAGCATGGGTGTATCACTGTGTCCTAAAATTCTTAGTCCAGCCGCTTCCTTGGCTAAAGAGTCGGCAATGCAATTACTATTACTCCTGTTGTGCCCTTCAACCCACCTCAGGATAATGTTAGTATCTACTGAGGCTTTGGCTAAATCCTTAGGACTATCAGAAAGGCCATGCTTTTTATGCACTTGTGGAATTTATGGCAATTAAGTAGAACTCCCAAATCCAAAACAAATTTTAATCTGATTTGTGTTTGGTAACTTGATGTGCGTATCTGTATTTCATTTCATTTTTTGAACTTTAGTGTAGCTGTACTGACAATTTTGAAACCCGTATGGATCAAATCGAAATAGACATTGTTATTATTATGATCTAGGCTAGAATTGTGAGTCAAACCCGTTTGAGTTTGATCAGTCAGCTCTTGATCAAATAGACGGCAATTCCAATAGGGTAACAAAACGAGATAAGCCAGCCAACTGCATACCTACAGCATGCCATTTACTTTGAGTGAACAGGTAGAAGCAGAATTCATTAATATGGTAAAATAAGGTTTCACTTTAGGCAAGTCATATAGATGTGCCTCCTGAAATGAATTCAAAGTAGCTGAGAATTTTCATTGGTTCCAGAAAGATACTATTATATTATATCATCACAGTACAAGACTTGTATCATTGTACGTTACCAATTTCAGATGATATTTTTGCATATCTGGGTGACAATGATATTTCTGTGGGATATGTTTCAAGGAACCTATCAGAATCTCCGAGTCAGCAAAATAGCTGATGAATTGCTCACTATAAATGAACTTGTTGGGTTTTTCATATGTCCCATCATTTCTGTTTATGGGTGCCAGTGGCAGTCGATGGATATCTCTCGAATACTTTCATCATCGACGCTGGTATTCCCCAGGGATCCATTTTGTTTCCAACCCTCTTTTCATCGTATATCAACGACGTATAGGAAAAAACCTGGAATCCAATATTTTGTTTAGCTGACGACAGCATACTTGTCTCGTCATTCCATTTGGATTCCAAGACATTGGCTACGGAAGCATATATTCACCGGCAGCAGGAGGTTGTATATCTCATTAAGGATCTAAACGTGATTTCGAATTGGGGAGAAAGTAACCAGTAACTGCAACTTCTAAAATGTCTATTTCAAAGAGTACTTACTTGGAAAGTTGAGCAACCGAGTAATGACTAAATAGTTGTTATACCCAAAACTATAAGAGACTTTACCATATGATGTTATCAAATTGATGAGTGTTAATCAATAAATAAATAAAACATAGTGAAACATACAAACATTTAATATTAATAACTCTTCAATGGTTCAGAGCAAAAGTTCCCAGAAATAAGACTTGTAATTCTAATAATAATATTCGAAATTAGATACTTCGAGAGGTTAATTTATTAGGTAGAAGATGTTTTAGGAAATCAATTTCCCAGCGCATAGTACTATGTGGTGGTTTACATATATTCGTTGAAAAACATATACTTTAACCTCAAGAGAACAATGAAAAGAAAAGTAGGAAAACTCACCTTCCGTGAAAGGTTTTATCTTGTAGCAAAAAGGCGTTGGCGTGTTACAAAGTATTCAAACACCAAATTGTCGTAAATGTTCAATATAGGCCTCTATCAAAAGCCAGGACGTAGTGGTTGATAATAAGATGGGTAGACCGAAATATCATTTAACAAATTCAGGATTCGTCAGCCGAACAAAACCAGAAACACCTGTAGGGCAGACACCTGTCATTTTCGCGAAATCTACCATCCCAACTGATCAGAAAAGAATTCCTTTTCTTCCTCTTCTTCTTTTCGGAAGATAGTGTATTAGCGTTTTGACCTATCAATATGCGTATGTTCCATGCATAAAAGACCAATCTGAACGTAATAAAGTAATGGTATGTTTGGTTGTATTTGGTCAGACACCCCCTAAAGCAAAATTGGCTACACTGACGAAAAGTGAAACAGTTGACAGTCGAAATATAAACAAGAAAATTAAAATTAAACAGAAAATATCAACAGAAAATTTCAACTCGAAGACACTCCTTGTGAAACTTATCCATAACCATAACATTCGAGATTAGCAATGGAATTTTTATACGGTTTCTATGGATGAGGTTAGACAACCAACTTTACATATCTATGTTTGTTGTTTTTACGTTCGCTGAGGGTAGGTCACCACGGAGTGAAATCTATGTTGCTCTAAAACTTTTTTATTTATTTACAAAATAAAGTAGCGAAAATGTACATGCTACAATATAACTATTGAATTGAATTGAAATCGATGAATCAAGTACAAAATACGTTTGTAACATGCCATCGAACAAAATATTCGAAAGAGACTAACTCTGCGCTCTATAGTATTTCCAAAAATATCATTTGAATAATATTCTATATGTCGCAGAACATAATTTCAAGGGCTGACGCAGATGTTGAATATTAATTTTTTTTTGTGGAATTTTGATAATGATTTCAACATTTAGAAAATATACATTTGATTCAGATAGACACGATTGCATTGGTATCCAAAATGCTATCTAGTGTGCTTGAGAAGTTAGAGTTATACCACATTTCAATTCTTACCTGTGCAAATTTTTTCTGGTCTGTTTATCTTCTCATCGGCTTCAGCGTTATTTTCTGCGTTATTTTGGATTCTGTTTTCGGCGAGTCGTTTACTTGTTCTCAATTCAGACATATTACTTGCTTTGTATTACCAAATTGCTGTTCTATATAGGCAACGAAGGACCATATGTTCTGAGTTTACCTGTGAATTAGGTATTATTGAAACTAGTCTCGAAGAACCATATGTTCTGACTTTACCTGTAAATTAGGTATTATTGGAAATATCCAGTCTCGAAGAACCAAATTAAAATCCAATTTTTTGTTTGTCAAACTCATATCTATTTTTTTCACAGCTAACTTATACATATTATCAAAGATTTACAAAACACTCCAACATTACCTTTCACTCATAATACTGTGAACTTTTGACCTGTTACTTTTCATAGCATGATTTGAACAGGTTAGGTTAGGTAAGATCCAAAGTGAGTGGGTCTTTTCGATCCTGCACCGCAACCCGCAAGGGTTTATTGTGGCTCACACCTATTTACACTCAACCAAATAAACCCAGTTTCTCAACGAAGCCGATTAGTTTATACGGTGGGCGATCTTTCAGGTCAGATGGTAAGAGAGCGGCTCTGCCAGACTCTTAAAACCTGATTTGGTCCGCAGCGGGGCAGGCACAAAGTTTGTGCCCTGCTGTTTCATCATTTTTCAAACAGAGGCGACACACACTGTCTTCCNTTCAATGAATTCCTACACGAGATGAAGCACATTAGCCATAAAAAATTATAATGAAAGAATCGAATGGTTTTATATTGTTGCGCTTGCTATTTTTAACGCCCTTGACCGTATGCAGTACGAGGGTTTGCTGTCCAAATAACGATGCTATGGCTTGTCGTACCATTTTTGAGCATGGCTCTCTAGCTTCCTGAGAGAACTTTTCCTGCAAGTGGCCATCAACGCTGGGGTTCCTCAGGGATCCAGATTGTCTCCAATATTTTTTTATCATATATCAACGACTAGGGCCCTAGATATTGCCCTAGATGGAGCAATATTGTGAAACAAAATTTTATATAGCTTGTACTATTTCAAT